TGAATCTCTGTGGAATTTCTCATTTTCTGTGAGAAAAGCTGCCTCTTTTCTTCATGCCTCCACCATTAACAAAAGTCAATACAAAAGATTTCTTTACTTTTAATATTTCCATTGGCTTAGAATAGCAAGTTTTTGGATTCAACTCCCCCTAATTTAGGAAAGAGATGTAGGTATTCCCCCTGCCCCCAGAGGCTCAATTTTCAGTAATGTGAGCCTAAAGATTTATAAAATAGATTTATATTAATTATGTTAATAGAAGCCTAGTAAATGCACCATTTAATTGCATGGAAAAAAATGCTCTCTTTTAAGAGGTCTGTCACCTTAACAGGTACATACAAAGAATCCCTGTGAATAATGAAAATAGGAACAATTGCTTTGATGCACTGAGCTGCATTCACGTTTAGAAGGTGTTAGGTTGTGTTTGGAGAGGATAGGAGGAGCTCCTTTTAAAGCAGAGACTGCTCCTTTAAACCAAATTTCCTCTAGCAAATGACTTCTATTGGAAGTGTCATTCTCCTCCCCTCACACCCTTAAGGTCTGGCCTAAGATCCAGCCTATTGCTCTCTCTAGTCTCCCCTCAATGTTCAGCTTTTTATTCCTTCTCCCAACCCAACTCTGAGAACCTACCCACCTCCCTCCAAAAAATCTCCCAAGAAGTACGATGAAAAATGAGTGGAACCTGCAGGAAAGGTATAAATGGGGTGGGGAGGGGAAGGAAACCTGGTAAAAATAACTCTTCTCTTTTTTTAAAAAAAAATATATTTTTATTGTTGATAGTATTACAGATATCTCACATTTTACCCTTCCCCCTTTTACTCCTCTCCTCTCAGCCCCTACCCACACACCCCCAGGTCTTCACTACCCTATTGCCTGTGTCCATGAGCTATGTATATAAATATATAAGTTATTTGGCTTATCTCTTATCATCCTCCCAACCCCACATGGAGGTGTGTCAGTCTGTTCCATGCTTCCATGCTTCAGGTCTTATTTTGTTGGTCAATTTCTTTTGTTCATTAGATTCCACAAATAAATGAGATCATGTGATATTTGTCTTTCTCAGATAACTCTATTTATAACATGACCATCACCAATAGTTATTTTTCTCTCTCACATATACTTATACATATGCACACATACACTCACACACCCATGTACATGCATGTACATACACCTATATATACTGTCGCCCTCTGTGACCTCTTTTAGCTAGAGCAATCACCTTTCTGGCAATTTCCTGACCACAAGGTGGACCAAACAAACTACAGTTCTAGTCCAGATCAGATGTAAAAGGGTAGAATTGGTGGGGAGTAGGATTGAGGGAAGCGGGGAGAAAGCCAGAAATCAGACTTGATGTCCCAAGTTTTTCTTTCTCCTAGAATATTCTTAGATGTCCTTGGAGGGATGAGGTGGGTGGGAACCAAGCTATGATGACCACTTTAGAATAAGGGGAAGGGGGACTATCTTCACCAGTGTCTCTATCACCTGGGCCCATGGGCTCCCTAGGATGGGCTGCTGGGTGAAACCAAGAAGCCTTTCTGAGTGCCACTGTCAGTGTTGGGCTTGGCTTGGATATGTGTTGGTCACTAAGTGGGTAGATGAAGGGGAAAGGTCTCTGCTCCTTCTCTTTTCTCTGAATGTCTGGACTGGCTCAGGATGCAAAGGCAGGAAGTCATCCTCCCTGCTCTCCATCTCCCACCCTCCAGCTCTTTTCCTGTTTGAAGCTGCCATAGGACTTTTCTCCCAGAGGCGGACTCCACCACACTAATGGCTCCTGCAGCTCAATTCCTTCCTCTTCGTGGAGCAAGGTCCTGCTTTCTCATTCTCATTCTCTTTCTCTCTTTCCATTATGTGTCCATAGGCCCCTGAGAGGCCAGGGTTTGTGGGAATCGAGTCCTGTTTCTCAAGAGGGGGCAGTGAAAAACTGGCTTACAGTGCTTTTCCGGTAGCAAAGTTGTCAAGGGTGACCCCATGTATCTTGAACAGTCTTCTCTAATAAACCTGGAGCCGCTTCCCTGGGAGTGTTTCATATCAAGATTGGTTAGCAGAGAGATCAACCAAAGGACTTATGTGCATACATATGAGCCTAACCAGTGGTGGGGGACAATAGGGGGGTGGGGGCATGAGTGGGGTGGGATTGGAATGAGGGGTTGAGGACAAATATGTGATACCTTAATCAATAAAGAAATTAAAAGAAAAAAGATTGTTTAGCAGAGCATTTGTGTGTCTGAGTATTAGCCTAAGTATTCTTAACCTAAAGAGAAACTGTAGGCCTTTAAAAGCAGACAGATTTCCAAAGCCTTATTCTGATTTGCAGACTTCAAAGACATCAACTAATTTGGTGTGTGTGTGGGGGGGGGGGGGGAATGGATGCAAAATCCACTCAGGATTCACTCTGAAAGTGATCAGAAGGTCGGTTGGACATAGAATGTCCTGGGACAAATAGGATACCCCTACCCTACCCCACCTCAACAACCCTGGGTAACCTTTCTTTGGAGATTGTCCAATGACTAGATAGGTATCTTTGCCAAGGATCTCTTTGCTTCTGGTGATAATTCATTGTTTACTCTCTCTTTCCAGCGCAATTTCCCTGAAGACAGGAGGGAGAGGGACTGAGACCAGGCAAGCAGCGCAAAACCAGTCCAGGAGGGCTGGTGCCCCATCATCGCCTTGGCTGGGCGGTGGAGCTGGCAGCCTGGGGCATGGTCAGTGGGTGGCTGTGCGCTCAGGGCGGCGCAGAGGCTAGGCCCTGACCTGGCATGGACTTGGGGAGGGTCAGGTCCGAGCGCGGGTGGGCGACAGAGGGGGCGGCCACGTGTGGATCGGAGGAGGAAGTGTCTGCCCACTGCCCAGGCATGGCTTGGTGAGAGACAGGAGGGCAGAAAGCAGTAGCAGGGCCTCTTCATCCGGAGCAGGAATTTCCCTTAAAGGCTCCTTCTTTGCTCCTTGACAGTCAAGTCCTCCCACCGCGTACTGGGCCTGGAGAGGCCTGTCTAGTGGGAGGGAAGAAGATGGGATCTTGAGAAAAGGCAGTGGGCTGCTGTGGGCAGGGCAAGGGGCAGGAGGCTGCACTCCAGAGAGACCCACAGGCTGAGCCTCCCTGGCCCTGGGGCGAGCTGGTTGCCCATGACCACTGTGCAGGGCCAGGCTAAGTCACTGCACAAAGCGGCGCCTGCTCAATTCGGCACCGTGAGGTCTGTCCTCCCTCCTGCCTCTCTGGGCCAGTGCCCGAATTGGAATTGATGGACAGGCCTGGAGTAGCTGAAAGGGGGATTTCCCCTCTCCCATGGGGAGGAGAAGGAAGGGAAGGAGGAAGAGAGGGAGAAAGAGAGACTCTGAAGGGAAAACCTGTATCACATCCTCTCCTGTCTCTTGCTTCTCAAATTAGCTTCCTGAGCTGTTTTAGAACCCCAAACCCCACCTGATGAGGTTTTGGTTTCTACAGACCTAAAGTAATTCAAACCTCGAAGTCTGTATTATCTGTAAAAAGTTCCTATGGTTTGACCTCTTGGGTGGAATCTTTACAGAAGCTAATCAGAAATGACACCAGTGGGCGTTTGTGAGAGTCAGAGTGCCAAAAAGGACTCTCCTGGTTTCCCTGTGCCCAGCTCCGTTTCTCTTTTCGATGCCAGGATCTGGCCGTGCCAGGCTGCGGCGGAGGGCTCAGCCAGTCTCCTCCAGACAGGCTTGCAGAATGAACTCCGGAAAGTGATGGGGAGAGGGGACTAGAAAGGAGACAATTTAGGTTAAAGTTAGAGAGACCAGAAAAGAATTAAACAAAAATGAGAGTCCAGAGGCACATTTGAGCTGGTTTAGAAAAGTGAGAATGTAACCTTTTGTTTTGTTGGCATTGGTGAAACCGCCAAGTTCTTAGCTAGAGGAACTACTAGGATTGGCCATAGTCACAGCATTCTTTGTATGTTTCCATGTGCGCTTACAGCCTGCTTTGACGGATTGTGCTCTCCCTGAAACTATTCCAGCCATTCAAATGTCTTCACATAATTCTGTTTTTAGTATGAAGAGAGACGAGGAAGAAGAGGGATAAAAAGGGGGGGTTGCCACAGAAAATAAATACTAGGTAAGGAATTTTCACCTTTTCTAACTAAGTAAACTGAAAGGTTTGCCTGTCATTAATGTCAGCATCACTCTAAATGGAGTGATTCCTGTCAGCTGTGAGGAGGTTAGCTGTTTTGAGGATGGGGATTGCTTCCTGGTGGATGGCATCAGGACTGAAGGTGTCCCCTTGGCAGAAGCTTCTGTTACACAGAAATCCTAAAGCACCTCAACCTCCCTCCACCCAGTGCCCCCACGGTACCAAGTTTTAGTCAACACTTCCATCTGAATTCACAGACTTTCCCCCCAGTTCCCAGGGAGCGGGAGATGGTGAGAGCAAACACCATGACTGCAAGACCTTGATTTTTGTTTCATTTATTTAAATAAATATAAATATGAATCTTATATAAAACTATTCACATAAAAAGGGACTTCCAACCCTGGGATTTTAAACTCTCCCCAGGCAAGTTTTCAGAAAGCAAGATCTACAGGGCTTACTTTTTTAAATTATTTGCAAACCAATGCTTTTATTTAAAAAACAAAACAAAAAGGAACTAATCAGGAAACCCGGTGTTCTTATCAGGTTCTGAAAGACGGTAGGGGAGGGCACAGAACAAGCGCTGTAGAAACAAAATCGGACAGTGCTAAACTTAAGCCAATAATGCGGTGTGTGTTTTTTTTTCTCCTATTATATGACAAGACTGAGCGGAATCTAGGTTATATACATTTAATCAAAATCTATTCCCATTCTCGAAAGCGGAACCCTAAACAAATAGGCCAAGGAGTGTAGATGCGAAGCGAAGGATCGGCCCAGCGGGTTCGCCCTGGGAACGCTCAGCTCCGCGCTTCTGCCGCTGGGACTGCGCCTTGGGCGAGGATTTGACCCCTGGGTGCCTGCCGCCTTGGCTTTGTGGGTGCTCCCGCGAGCGGGTGCTGAGAGGGACCCCCTTTCACAAGGGGGAGATCTCCTTGTCCTCGGCGGCCGAGGCCGGCGACAGGGAGTCCTCGTCTTCGGAGCGCGCGTAGTGCGCTTGGCCGCTGCCGACGCACTTGCAGCCCCCGTGGCCGTTCCTCTGCGCGCCCTTCCCCTCCTTCTTGTGCTTCACCCGGCGGTTCTGGAACCAGATCTTCACCTGCTTCTCCGACAGGTTCAGGTACGTGGCGATCTCTATCCTCCGGAGGCGAGACAGGTACATGTTGGAAGAGAACTCCCGCTCCAGCTCCAGGAGCTGCGTGCTGGTGAACGCCGTCCTCATCCGCTTGCCATTGGGCACCTGGCCGACGTCCGAGCCCCCTGCACATAGGCCAAGACAGGGCAGAGAGGTCACTCCCGAGAAATGCGCTCCCATCCCACCCCCACCCTCACCCCCGTGCCACCCCTCTCCAGGACCACTCTGGGAGCGCAACCAAATGGATGTGTCCATCCATCCCTCGCCCTTCCCACTTCCTACCGCGCCTCTACTTGGCCTGGAAGGACAGAGGTGCACGGAAAGGCCTTACTTAGGTGTGTGGAAATAGCAAAGCCAGACGGTTCAAGGGGGGCTAGAGAGGCTGGCATAGTCAGATCACCTTCTTTCCGGCCTAGCGGAGAGGTGGAGGCCGTCCAGCTTAGCCCAAAGCGTGGCAACGCTTTAACCAACTGAAGTTCCATCACAGCCACCTCCACCCCCCAAACCTCAGCCAGTTGCTCAGCCCTCAAGTTCGACGTCCCCGAGGCCCCCCATAGCGCGGAACACTTGGAGACCGGGGACCAGGAACGAAGCGCACCAGGCTGCTCTGAGAGGCTGGCCAGCTAACTTCCACCTTGGTGGATGGAACTTCTGGGGACCGCGTCTCTGTGACACTGAAAGCCCCTCCCTCCCCTCCGCCCCCCAAGCTCCCACACCTTATGCTGCAGGAGGAAAGTTAGTTCCCTCCCGAGAGCCCAGCAGGCGCGGCGCTCAGGTGCCCCTAGCCCCCGCCGTACCCATGGCGAGGCAGTGGAACCGCCGCGGGTCCGCCACGTTGTAGGTGGTGGCGGCGCAGACAGGTGCGTGGTGCTGCGTGTGCCCCAAGGCCGCCGCCGCCGCCGCCGCAGCCGCAGCCGCCGCCGCCGCCGCCGAGCCGGGCTGCTGGGGCTGGTGGTGGTGGTGGTGATGGTGGTGATGATGCGAGTGGCTCACGCGCGGGCAGAAAGGCGCGTCCCCAGGTCCCGGAGAGAACTGACTCTTGAGCAGGGGCAAGGCCCCGGAGCCCCCCGCCGCCGCCGCCCCGCCGCTGCCACCGCCGGCCCCGGTGCCCCCCGTCCCTGCGCCCCCGCCGCCGCCGCCGGGGCCCCCCGGGGCCCGGGAGGAGTGCAGGTGCGAGGTAACGCAGAGCGGGCACACGCAGAAGGCGCCGCTCTTGCGGGACGCGCAGCCGGGCCCGGGCACGGACATCACCAGCGGGGACGGCATGCCCAGCGGGAGGAAGAAATCTGGCCCCGGGTGCGGCTCGGGCAGCGAGGGCGCGGGGCGGGAGGAGGAGTCCTTGATGATGAGCGAGTCCACATAGAAGGAGCGCGACATGTCGTTGGGAGGAGTTGGGTCGCTGGAGGGTCCCCGGCGGGCGGCGGTGCTCCCTCCCCTCTCCTGCTCAGAGCTCTGCCCACGGGGCGCGGAGCCGGTGCAGCCGGTCAAGCCCTTGGGGGATGCGGAGGTGTCGGCGCCCGGGCTTCGAACAAAGGGGTCCCTGGAGAGGGCTGGTCCCGAGGTCCCCCGCCCGCCCGGCGCCCCGGCTCCGGGGTTTTATAGCCCCCACCCCGGCACGTGATGCGGTGGAGTACCGCTCGGCTCCGGCTCCTCGGCGGCTCCCCACCCTCGGGATAGGCTGCCCGAGTCACACACACACACACAACAGAAGCGGCGGCGAGGAGGGGCGGGCGCGCGGCAGGGAATAACTGGGAGGAGGGGGATGGGGGGGGGAAGACTTTGCAAAATGTAGGTTTTGTTAATTTCGCGGGGAGGCCGGCCTCCTCCCTCTCTTTCTCCACGCTTTCCCCCGAGAAATCAGAGCTGAATCCTCCATCACACCCTCTTCTCGATCCTGGGCCCCAGCCCAACTCCTCCGCTCCCTCCCAGCCGCAGGGCACACCAGGTGGAGACTTTGAAGCCTTTTTAATAGGGATGCCCAGCTCTCCCGGCTCCTCTGTGCCAACCGTGACGAAGGCGCGGTAAAGAGGGAGGCCTGCAGCTTGGAGCGGGATTGTGCAGGCAAAGACTGGCAGCAGCCCAGTCCCGGAGCACAGCTTAGGCCACGGGCACACATACGGACTCACGGACACACGCAGAGTCCCCCAGCTTTTGGCCTTGCTCAAGGTCATGCATGTGGGTAGTTCAGGAAGGATTCCGGAGTGACAGTGAGGCCTCCCGGCTAAGAAGCTGACGAGCTTTTCAGTCTGATTTTGAGAAGCTCTAAAATGCCTTTGCACTTGGGGCTACTCAGATCAATGACCCTTCTTTGTGTCCCTCTCTAACGGGCAGCTCCCCCTTTGGCAAAGAGAGATGTGGAAGAGTCACTCTTTTCTTTCTCTCAGTGGTTCCACCACTTACAAACTCCATCCAAGGACTTTGGAGAGAGGACACAAGCCCTAGCCCTCTTTGCTCTGGGTGCCCCCTCCTGCATCTTGGCATTGTACAGATCTTGGGCAGCTGGCAGACTATCTGGGAAGCACTGTCCCCCCTGCATGCATTTAAAATCCCGAAAGGATAAAAGGAAATTGAGCCATTCAAGGAACCCAGCCTCTGATGGCAGGAGTGTTTGGAAAAGGACATCTATGAGTGGCACAGGTTCCGTGGAAACTTGGACACCCGTGGCTGCGTGAAATGGTGGCTGCCAGATGGGGGATATTGATCTTTGGGGGAGGCAAGGTGGCAGCTTTCTCTCCCCCCTCCCCCCAGAAAAAATCTGTCTGGAATAGGGAGAGTGAGTAACAACTACAAATCTGACCCTTTCCCCAAAACAGCTAATTTCAGGCCTGAGTCCACAGTTGTGCTCAGAAATCTGGCAGCAGGACTTCCTACACCTGTGAGAACCAAGAGCTCAAATCCTAGGGGAGCACCAGCTTCTTAGCGGAGACATGGCTGTCTCTCTGTCCTCTGTCCTTCTGTCCCTCCTTTTCCTTTTCATCTCTGTGACAGTCTCTCCTGCCTGCTCGAGAAGTGTAATTGGGTTGTAGGGACGCCTGCTCTGGGGAGCCCAGGATTTATGGATGGCAATTAAAGTTTTATGAATTGCAGCTGAGGCTGGTTATTGAGCTATTTGAATGTGATTAGAATTCAATTAGAAAGTGGTTAGTGGACGGTGGGTCTCCAGAGTGTAAACAGACAGCTATTCCAGAAATGTGTTAATCCACCATCTTGTGACAACAATTAAGGAATCTCGGGGCTTAACTCAGGGCAGCTCAGCTGTAACTACCTTTGCACCACAAGGTTTGCCGGTTTGGCCCTCGCAGATGCTCAGCCTGACCTCACTCCATCAAATCAGGAGGATCCAGGCAGTCCCTGGAATACTTCCGCCCCCCAAAAGAAGAGTGGGTGCTTCACCATCAAGAGAAGCTTCATGCAGGGTGTTTTTACAGGCCTAAAGTGTCCACATAGATGACATGATAGCCCCCTGCACTTGCAAGTAATATATTCATGTAGGTATATATTTAAAATTATATAACATATTTATAAGATATTTTAAATATAAATAAAATGTATAGTATTTATTTCCTCCTCTGGACTGGGTAGAAGTTATCCAAGATCTATTTTGGGCTGAGGGTTTGGGTCACCACGTTCCCAGCAGTTCTGGGTGTGTTCCCAGGAAGAACTATGAGCGTGTGCTGGAAGTTGTGCTTCTGTGAGGACCATTTTATCTTGGAAAATCCTAATGACAAAGCTTGAGCTTCTAACTAAACATGCACGTGGCTACAGAAACGTGAGGTTGGAGAGCTAAGGAACTTTGAGAAAAGTGAGAGGCTTTGGGGGTTGCTTAGAGCTGCAAGGGGGGCAGCAGGCCATGTCTGAGGAATTTGCCTATTAGCATAGTTGGTTAATTGATTGAGCCCAATAAGAAAGAGCAAATATTTGGGCGTAGGGGTCATGTTCAACATTAGAGTCTTAGACTTCTCTTTAGTTCTCGTTGGATCTCTCAGTGTTTCTCCTGTCTGTCTGTCTGTCCTTTCCTCCACTCCAGCCCCACCTTTAGAACCAGTCCCAACTATGCCTTACCAGCTCCATCCCCCAGCCCCTCACATGCACACGAAAGGAAGCTTACCCTCCAGGGACAGTGGGCAGCCTTGCAGCTCTCCCTGTCCAGCTAGAAGCTTCTCCAGGACAGCAGCATCTCAGATCAGCTCAGAGAGAAGGGGGCCCTGGGAAGACGTTGGCGTGCCCCCGTGGTGCCCCCGCTGCTGCACAATTTTATTTCTCAGTGATTCTGTCCGATAAAATTTCATCGTCCATTAAGTAATCCCTGAAATGAGAGCTCTTATGAGCCTATAATGAGCTCTAATTGCCAGGACTCGGGGAGCCACGTGGAAGGATTTATTCGGTATTAAGCAGTCGGGTACAGAGTACAGGCTGTTACCTAAGCCATTACTTTCATAATTCAAGGAGAAAATTAGTTCTTTTAAAGAGGGGGGGGGGAGAGAATCCTTTGATTTCCTCCCTCTTCCTCTGATGACAGGATGGCTTTGTCTTCATCGAGTGCAAGAAGATGTCACGAATGCGAAGGTAACAAAACTGTCTCCCTCCAACCCCCAACCCCTGCCTAGTCTGGACCTCCCACCCTTACCCTCAACTGAAAAAAAAAAAAAAATCAAAGCAGTTCAGAGGTGCCGCCTTGTAATCCTGGACGAGCAGTTTCTCAAGAATTCAACTTGAGATCTGAATTCTTGGTTGCTGCTTTCAAAAAGTCTTCCAATACTTTATCCCAATCTGGGATCACCTCTGACTTGAACCCCATACTCCCTTCTCTTTCCTTCCTCCTTTTTCCCTTTCATGGGCAAAGTCAGAGAAAGTTGAGGGCGGGGACTCAGCGTTGTTTATTCAACAGGCTCTAGAGTTCTGACCCATTGATGTACTCTGCGGTTTTTCCGGCTGTAACACCCACTTTGCCCCTCCCTCTGAGTGTTTCTCCCCCCCCCCCAAAAAAAAGCCCCCTCCATCCCTAACCCTTTTTTCTCTGCGTTTCAGCGTTTGTCCACATGATTCTCTGGCCCCAAACCGAGGCCGCGAGCAGGGCGGGACAGCCGGGGAGTTGGCGGGGCCGCCTCGGATTTATTTGCTTCTCTTACATTGATTTCATATTAGTTTCCAAAGCGATGAATGATCTCAAAGCTGGGTTTTGTTAGGCGAACACAAACAGGAGACAGGACTTACTTGCCCCCAGCTCCCTTTAATGAGGTCATTATCAAAGCGTGAACAAGTCTATGAATGTTTTATTGAAAGCGCATCGTTAACTTGTATCCATCCTTTTCTCCAAGTGGCATTGTGATATTGCTGTCTGTGGCACATCTTACCCGATATAGCCCGAGATTTCCCCATTCTCTGTAACCAGGCAACCCTGTCTGAATACCCAAAAATTGAAAAGAACCGCTTAGTCTTCAAGAAAGTCCTCAATAATAGTGGAAAAGAACAAAGATCCAGGAGACAACAAAATGCCACAGGGGTGACTTTTCATGAGCAATTATCTCTCATTAATCAGAAGAACAGCTGCAATATTAATTTTCTCTCTTTCTTCCTCTCTTTTCACAGTCCCCAACATTTGAATAACCACAAATTTTGGTGTTATGAAGGAGTCGCATTTTCAGGGGCTGGAGGAAAAGCAGATACCTAGGTGAACAAGGAGAAAACGCTCTCATTTTTAAATTTTTTTTTACTTTAGGGAAAGCTGCCAACAAAATAAAGTGGGGGGAAAAATAAACTAGAAGAAATACCAGAGACCCAAGAGACACTCTTTGGGCGCAGCTTATTATTGTCGCCATCCAAAGCCCGCCGGCCCGGGGTGCGCGGAGATGGGCATTCAGCAGAAGCGGGGGCCCTCGTCTTTAAAAGCGTCGGAGGAGTGATTGTTCGCAGGGTGTGTAGGCAAGGTGGAAAAACAACAAACAAACAAATATCCCCAGGGTCTCCAGATAAGGCTGCAACCTGCAAACAGTCCTGCGGGAATGAAAAATTCTCATGAACACCGAGTTCTGCAATTAGCAAAATGCACACACAGAGACAGACCCCGGCCCTCTGGAGTTGGATGAAAGCGGGGCAGTTGGGAGCCGATCACCACATTCCTCCGCTGGTTGTGTGATGGGGCTGCCCCTTCCTCTGCCCAAATAATGTTACTGTTCATGCAGGACCCGGCGGGGCCGCGCCGCGCATTTCCAAAGACAGGTTTCGGACCTTGGGCTCACCCACCACCAAAAAAACGACCGTGCTCTGCCCTAGGGTTTATTCGGAGCCCAGGGGCCTTTGAGGAAACTCGCTTCGCCTTTGCACTCTGCACCCCGAGCAAGAGTTCAATCCGGCCCTCCAGGGAGGGGATGCGGGGA